GGTATCCTAACAAACGGGCCACGTTCCGCGCGCGGTCTTTCCTTCCTGTTACTTGTCATATCTTCACTCTTTACTTACACACACACACACACACACACTACACTACCACACGAGCCGGTAGACCGGTCGGACGCTTGTCCCGGCTGAGCGGTGCCCTGTTGATGGGAGATACCTGGTTGGGGAAAACCCCGCTAGCCGTTGGGCAGGTCGGCACCGGATCTCGTCATCTAGCGGAGGAAGATCACCGTCACCTCCCGAGAAAAAAGACGCTAAACTTACGGGACAAATACCTTAGGCTTCGACTCGCCAGGAATCATTAATCAATCAATCAATCAATCAATCCAGTAAGACGTTGATCAATAAAATAGATTCTGCGAGTTCAGAAAACATTTTAAAAGTTATTCATTGAGATGGTGGGAAACATAAATAAAGGAACATAGTGATGTTAATTAGCTATTATTTTGGTTTGGCTTATTTGCCTCGCTACTGAAATTCCCAAATGTTCTTTTAATGAAAACTGCATTAATGACTCATTTGTCGCCTCCGTATCTGTCAGGAATGAATTTGTCTCACTCATCAGTACTTTTCCTTATTTGCTGGTTCAGGTATTCCTTCGTTCTCTCTTAACTTCAAGCCTCTACTAAAATTAACACCTTTCTAATCTTTATGTAGAAATCAAAACAATGCTGGTGTTGTGGATGGACGTAGAGTATATTGCAACGTACAGTGAATGGCAAATATGCAAAGATAAAATTAAATTATATTTAAAAAAAACTTTTTGTCTGAAAGTTTCGCAGGAATGATATTTTCCCTGTATTGGGATATGGCTTGACGAGCATGTTGTTACAGCAACTATGTGATCTCCTTCATTCAGAATTCCATTAGTGCCAACATGCAAAGCAGTTCTGCGTTTGGTCGTTCGACCGTTCTCGTCGTCGTCCGAAGGTAAACAAGTGACAGGCCTCTCCCTCTCCAAGCGACTGCTTACAATTTGAACGTGTCATTCGCCACTTACGTAACTATTACGCAGGGGACGCCGACACACGCCAATGCAAGTATCACAGTTGGCAGGGCAAGATGATTCCAATCGGCTGACTAGCATACCATTGACAGTTCGGTTGCAGGGATGGATTAATGCATAATGAGATCAAGCATGTATAGTCATCGCTAGAAAGCCCCCCCCCCGCAATAATTTTTATACATTTTGTATTAATTAAGAATATAAATATATTTCAATATTCATTTTTAAGTTTCAAAGGTTGCAAAGTTTGTTTTCATATTGATTTTCATTTCATAATATTAAAAATTTCGATGTTATCAGGCGATTATCAGATAATTTGGTCACGCTTAAGACCTCGTAAGATTTTAATCTGATCCTGTTAGGTAATTCCCAGACAAAGAATGCTGGCTATTGATTGAGAATTTTTTGTAAATACACGGCTTCAGAACAGGAATAATAGGTTATGGAATTGGAAATGAAACTTTTTTTACAATTTCCTTTCAATAGATAATTTCGTCCAATATTTTGCTTTAGTGTCTTTAAACTCTCTTCGTATCAATCGGTTTTTCCATCTTGTTTTAAATGGATGCTAATGATCGCCTCATGTATTTCATATTTCTTGGTTAAGATATTCTCGAAAGAGCTCATAAGATAAGTATGGGAGAGATCAGATACGTCAACATTTCAACATAGATGTACCCACAAGTGAGGCCAGGGAGCCGTGCCCTCCTGAAAAATTTGAAAGGAGCCCCATAACCCCTTCTTAATTTCCTCTCTTTGAAACTGACGATTTGGGAAATTTATTTACCACTTTCGGGCAAAAGGCAATCCAAACCTTGTGGCAACCCTATAAATGGATTAACGAAAAATACTCAATTAAGTGTATCCTTAAAGTTATTTCATTTCCCAGCAACACATTTAAATAAAAATGATTGAAAAGGGGCCCCAAAGCGTCCTAAAAATGTAGTTGCCCTTCCTTGTTTCTGGCTTTTCACGCATATAATTGTATTCGCCATTGGGCAAGAGAATAAAACAAGTTGATTCTGAATTCAGTTCTCTTGCATCAAGTATATTTTTAGTCTCAACTAGGTGCTTGTTTCGTTGGGAGAAAGCCAAAGAACGCTTGACCTTAACCCTGACCTTACTGATATCGAGTATAATGACGCCTCTGACTACACTGAGGTCCTCGAACATTACAATGCGTCGGTTTAAGATTTTTTAGTTCGTACCTGCCGCAGATTGAATAGAAAAACACATAGTATTTTACTAATTAAAAGTTCGAATTGAGGTGAAATGTATTAACTGCAAGTAATAATAAATTTAAGATGCAATTACCGTCGATACCTTGGTTTGTGAAATTTGATTTTAATATCCGTATGTCGGTCAAATAGACAAGTTTTTAATATCTATTTTTCGATCTCCAATGGCTTCCAAACATGAAGACCTGTCAAACCCGGAAATTCAATTTTGATTCATTACAAATATGTGTATGTAGAATATAATTATAAATAAGAAATTGCCTGGTTGTAGAAATGGAAACTACGCAATATGGAAACAAATTCGTTCATATAAATATCCGCGTATGTATCGGTTCAAATAAAAATTGCATTTTTCACCTTGACTTGGGAAGTGAAACACAAATCCATCTTTTCCGTTTCTACACTGAATGATAATAAACTGAATCATTAATAATGCTGGTAAACACGAGTGTCTAAGTTGGAAATCTTTGGAAAACAAGTTATGATTTCCAGAAATTGTGTTCAGACGAATTTGACCTGTTATGATTTGCAGAAATTGAATTGAGACGAATGTAACGTAGCAAAAAACCATGAATTCAATTTTTATAACTATTAAAATGGTTCCACGTATTCCGTACAAAGTAAAATATTTATGATTATAAATCGACATGAAATAATAAATCTACAAACAAGTCGTAGATAATCGTCTAATCGTCGTAAAACCGAATCATTTCAAATGTAAATAGGATGATTAAAAGTGCAATTTGAATGCCGACGAAAGTGATGGTAAAATAGACGGCCAGGATACCGGAGATCCCTAAGGCTGAAGTGCTGCTGTTTCCAATCTCGTTTGGCACGTGGATATTTGTGTGTGTCTGCATACAGAATATTCTAGTTTGTCTACTGTTATCCCCAAAGGTCAACACTAATGACAATTATAACGGTCGCTGAAAGACCTTGTAGTTGAAATGTGACCTGAAAAAAGAAATAAATAAGATAAAATAAAATTGCAAGTCAATACTTAAAACTAATTGGATGTTTACAAAACAATTGGAAAGCGTCGTTACGCGAATTCGCATTGTGGAAACTCCGAAGTTCTTTGAGGCAGACGAACCCAAAAGCATGTTGCTATCTTATTTTGGTACCTCCTCTTCACTGAAGTAGTTCTTCAAAGAAAGTACACGGCTTCTGTGCCACCGCGTAAAGGACCGCAAGTACAGGAAATGTTCAAAATATATTTGACATTTCCATAACTCAAAAATCGAAAATATTTTAACACATATTTACGGAAAATTATTGCTATAAGCCCTACATTGCTAAATACACGTAGCCATTGTTTAGTTAATAAAAATGTATAAAATTTTCCTTCCAAAACTTTCCAATTTATTCTGGGGTACACTTTTGACACACTGACACAATTTTGACACCTTGATTGGTTTAAAGTAACAGATTAGTACTGCAATTCGACTGTTAAAAATAAATCGACTTTTATATTGGTGATTTTATTTTAAATTTTTTAAACGAGCACATAAATTTACAAAATTTTATTACAGTGTGTCAAGACTGCTTCAATTATTAAAAAAAATCAACCAAAACTGGTGGTGCCACAACAGTACACACTTTCTAAAAAAATTTTCTTTTCACTTTCTAAAAAAGTTTTCAAAAATTCAGAAGTTTAATGTAAATGGAACCTGCACAGACTAGATAACCCTACTTTACTTTATTCAGTAAAAAAGTAAAGGAAAAATTTGGAGCCGTTTCAGCCAAAAAGAGTCCTGCGACATTTTTAAGAAAAAATTGCTCTATCCGAAAAAAATACAAAGTTTTGGAGCCATTTTGAGAAAATTTTAAAAATGTTGAGACCATGTAAAATACCCCCAAACATCAAAGTAGCCTGAGACAGACGGACAGGTTCCAGTTTTTTTTAAAAAGGCTCCAGTTTTTTAAACAAAAATTTCCATGTAGGACGAGGTTTTGCTCTTCTGTAATATTATTAAAGTAGTATTTCGGTTCTACCATTAAGAAACAAATCTTCAGAGAATTTAAAAAAAGTCATTTCGGCGTCGATAGATGGCACATGGGATAAGGATGGGGCAAGATCGAAAAGCTAGCCCGGGCCAAAGAAATTTGAAAGATAAATAATATCAGAAAGTTTATGTCGTGCTCTACCAGTATTTTAGTTGTGTACTTGTAAGTATAATAACAAATATTTTAGACTTTCTTAACTAAACTTGCAATTTTGGCTCCAAGTATGATTCTGTATCTCTTCGTATTCTTGTTTAATTTTCTTCGAGTCAGTACTTTCTGTTACAATTCTAGTACATTCGAAACAGTGGGCATTACAAACTTGTTAAATGTTAACAATCATGTGAGCGAAGTGGTGCATAATTGCACTTGTGATGAAATGAATACTCCGTGCTCGTTCGTTAACATTCCAATTGGGCTATTCTCCGATAGTGATTTTCGTGTAAGGTCGCTGTAAGTCTTTCTCGCGTACTCTTCTACTAGAAAAGTGTGAAATGTGTTGTTGTAAAATTTCATAAATAATAACTATCTAATTAACAAGAGAACAAATATATTTTAAAATGATTTCCTTTATATAACCACAATGCTACCTTTAGGATCGGAACCCTTGGCACCTTAGACCAAACTCGCAATAAATTGGCACTCCCTTATGTGATAAATGATAAGGTTACTAGTAGCTTCAACTGTCGGTACTATTTCAGAACATGTAACAACACAAAATATTTTTCTTTTTTCAGGCACGGTATTGCAGGAACTGTAAACGTTCAAGGAGAAGATGTTAAAAAGTTGGATGTTCTCTCCAACGAACTGTTCATCAATATGTTGAAATCATCCTTCACTACATGCCTCCTAGTGAGCGAAGAAAATGACACCTACATAGAGGTACAGTAACTATTGTATTTTCGTATACTTTGCCAAATGAAGTATTGTACATTTGTAGTGATTCTCGTAAGATAATGTTAGGGTATAATCAATAGGCAATAATGTCATTCAGTGAAAATTTTAAAGATCCAAGATGAATTTTGTTAGCTCGTCAAGCGTTCTTTGGATTATTGTACTACTCATTATTCGTTGCAAATTTCGTTATCCTGGTACATTCATCGATGTTATCTAATTAATTTTTGCAGGTGGAAACGGAAAGGAGAGGCAAATACATAGTATGTTTCGATCCTCTTGATGGCTCATCCAACATAGATGTTCTTGTGACGATTGGATCAATTTTCTCTATTCTGAGGTAAGTAGGTAGTGGTCTGACTTATTGACAGAAGAAAAGAAATTGCGTTAAAAAAATTGATCGAAATGTTTTGTTAACAAAGGTGGGTTTTATTTTTTTACGTCTTTGACCTTTTAGAAAGTAAACTTCAGGGCCCACTTATGTCCTCAAGAGACCTCTTCATTTATTCATGTTCCACTAAGAAAATCATTTTTACCTCGCGGATAGCTTTCCTTCACATTGCGTATCGGAGACCACTTTCTGAGCATAGCTGAGACACTTTCTCCCCTTCTCGGGCAGTTAATCAAAGTGGTGTTGCAGGTAATTAAGTAAGGAAGAAAGGAGGTTGGGTGATCATGAAGGGTAAGAGACGATGATATGAGAATGATGGAAAAGTGTAGATATAGATGGGGGTACATAGAGATGTGAGAAACTAACCACACCCCTTACTTCATGGTAAAATCACCTGCATCACTTCATGGTAAAATCACCTCACGCGGAACACAACCGAAAAGCCTTGATCTCCGCGCACCGGGAAGCTGCCGATTTTCCTCACACTGCGCTGGAGAATTTCCTATAAAATATATTTATTTCAGCAATACACGACTAATTCCTAAGAGTTTCCAAGAGATAACGCTTAATTAGAAACTCGTCAGATTTATAAAAGATGTCTGGATAAATTTGTTCTAGTGGATCGGCGAACTGAGAAAGTCTTACAGATTCTGAGGTGGCAAATTCGGTTCTGTTTGAGAAGGTGCATACGAGTCGAGAGTAATGTCTGCCGCGAAGCACGGGATACCTTCCCCGCGTAGGAATTCCAAACCGCATTCAGGTCAATAGCCAGTTTTACGTGTGCAAATATCGAATTTTCAAATGAATGTGACTCACGACTTATTCTTATTTAAATTAACCTACACCTTATTCCCAAAAACAAAACAAAACAGTCACCTTTTAATGTTACATTCGCATGTAACGATTGATTCCAATAGAATCCGAATAATAGAGCAATTGCAGAAGTAGAAGTGAACATAAATTAGTGTTTGTGAAGTTTTAATCTCTTCAAAAATTAGAGGAGAAAAATATGCAAGTTTTAAGGAAATCCGGGGAAGTGTCAAATGTAATTCTGAAAGATGTTGCTATAGAATTTTCGGAACTGATTGGGAATGATTTGCATTTTTGCATTTAGTATTTGTGCTAAAGTAAATATGCTATGTGCATTTTTGTGCATATTACCAAAAAAGCGTAAGAATGTAGCTATACCAAATATAACTATTAGCATCAAAATCTGTAAGTATTTGTTACGGCGATTATAATTTTGAAATTGCAATAAGACCAGTTCATATTCCGTATGGAGGTAATACACACAAGATCACTGGGGGTTGGGAACTTTTGAACGGGAGTATAACATTACTACCGTGGTTCATTGATAAGTACAATACCAGATACTGAAATAACATATTTCAACAATGCTGGGTATGAAAAAAATAAAGTATGAATGAAATTTTCAACACATGAAACGATTTTTAAAACAGTTTAAAGCGTCGGCGACGCCACATTTTTTGCTAATATACAAATATAATGGAAGTATACAGTACGTAAAATAACGAAACACCTGTCCTGCAATTGTGATGAAATAAAATGATTCAATGGATTCGGTCAATCCGTGAAGGAGTGAAAATTGGCTAGTTTCTTCAGCAGGTATAAAATAAATAGAAAGTAAACAATCGACTAAAACAACGCCAGAGGCGTCTGCAATTGAAGAACCGTTCTAAGAAACGAAAACATTCACTTACGCAAAACAAATTGGGGGAGGGGACACAACCTTAGGCAGCGAAAAAGCCAAACATTTTAATAACATTGCATGGAAGGGAGGAGGGACTATTAACGATTTATGGAATCGACAAAGGAAATGTTTAACAACATTTTGAATCTTTAAATTCGTTTTTTAAACTTTTTTCATGAGAATTGTGGAAAAGCTTAATGAGAGCTTTGCCGTCATTTTTACTAAAAAACAGAAAGTCCCGTCTATTTTCACTGAAAAAAAAAAAAAAAAACTCTATGCAACATCTCATACTTTCTCCCATTGTCGGAAATAGGTACGTAATATTGAATATTACAATTTCTGCCATTCTAAAAGCTCTGTTATAACTTGAATAATAATTATTAACCAGATTATAACCAGAAAAATTCAACCATTTCAAAAGAAGCGCCTTGGTGCATACCTGCGTTTATTTCGATAGCCAGGTACAGTAGTAATTTCTAGACATTCCCAAAACATTTGTACCTAATTTATTGATTACATTTTGACCACGGATAGCGTAAAGGGCGCTTTAGAGAATGATGACCTTATCTTCGTTTAAATCTCTGGTTTTTCGAAAATTGCAAATAATCCATTTTTACGGGTCTTCCTACATCTACAGTTATGAAGATATTTTTTTAAAACAGAATTTATTAATCAGAAACAGATCTTCAAATGAAGCCATGGACAGTTTTTCGAAAACGGGTATTTTTTCCTAATTTTGGCGTCAAACATGAGTAATTTTTAAATTTTAAACAATTATTTTATCAGAAACGGCTCCAAACTTTTTCCTCGTAGCAAATAACTGTTAAGATAGCCAAAAATGGGACCATCACCACTAACTCTCTGTATTTTCAAAATATGAATAAATAAATAAAATCGGAATTGTAAGTTCGAAATTCGCGCGTTTCGATTGACGCGTTGTCGGTTCGCAAAATGGCAAGTGTTTTCAAAATTCTTCGAATTCATCCTATTGCTGCAGGTTGTGATGATTGTACGTTGTAGATATTATTCTTATGAAAGAAAATAAATTGAAGGAAGGAAATATGTTTAACTAAGAAACAATGCAAGCTCTCTTCAGTGTAATCAAACACGTAAAAGAAAGAAATGAAGATATTTGCAACAGAGGCGCTTCGTTTGAATTTGTTGAATTGGACTATTTCAAGTTATAGCTGAGCTGCTAGAATAGAAATTGCAATACTTCAATTTTACATAACTAATTTCTACAGTGCGAGAATGTGCTGTTTTAGCACCGCTAGTTGCCATGCTCAACCACTGCACTGTCACGAACACAAATGGGGACTATACCACGCTTGTTAAAACACCGCATACTTCACACAAGCTACGTCCATTAGAGCAATCATCTGCTATCGGACATAAAGAATAAATTGTTTACTAGTCGTTTTCACTAGCACGGTCGAGCATCATACAAAACAGCCTCCCACGCGTCAACGAATTCTCATTGACACATTATTGAGCTTGTACTCCCTTGAATCAGGTTTCTATCACAGCGTAGACATCAGACGTTCTGACGTACTGAAGATTGAATGATTGATTAGTGCTGGTCTCCCGGCCGGTGTGGTGGTGAAGTTCATGTACGTTTATAAAGAAGAAGAATATGACAAGAAGAGGAAGGAAAGATCGCGCAGGGTCCGTTTGTTGGGGTGTTGCTCCGGCATTTGCCTGATGGTGATCGGAACACCACGCAAAACTACCTATCAAACTATCTGACTGGCTGTTAGAATGACGCCCTGAGCCACTAAAGTCGTTTGGTTTCTGAAGAAATGTAGTAAAAAAATCGGCTGTAATTTTTGAAGTCTGTGTAATTATTATTTTGTGTTCGACTCCCACGGGCCGCGTGTTGTACACGGTTGTGATCTAAACGGATCCTGTTGGGCAACTTTTCTTTTCCTGATTCCTTGTTTAGAACATTTTAATAATATATTTAATATTTAATATAAATCCTAAATGTCCTTGGAAAAGACAAATTAATACTTTTCCAGCATGACGAATAATTTAGGAGGAATGGCGGGGAACTCAGCGACCCCTTTTCAATTAGTATTCTGGCACGAGGTAACAAGAGTACTGTTTCACAAGAGCAAAGCTTGTCAACGACGCGTCAAGTACTTCATCTTTTAATACTATTGGGCCGGGGGGTGTTGATACACGTCTGGCAAAGGGGCACCTATTACATCTGTCGTTGCAATGGAGAGGCGCAAAGTTCACAGGGTCCATTGCGCCTAGCTGTCTAAATCAGGTCCTGAGCTGCCTCAGGGTCCTGCATCGTCAAAATTATATGCGTACAGGAAAAGAAAATCTGGTATTTTGGCTATATCACTATAATAACGTACTTGAATTGTTAAAAATATCGAAATGCAGTAGACAAACTTGTACATTACGGAATATACATCTAATAGAATTGGTAACCAATAATTGTGAAATTTTAATATGAAAGTTCCCACATCAAATCTAATCATGTCCTCTTTCTCAAACAAGTTGTACTCAACAGCACATACGTTATCTTAGGTAATACGAGTGCTTTGGAAATTGTCGAAAATTCCGGACTCGCGAAGTGAGGATGGTATTTATCTAAAACTTTCCAAAGCACCAGTGGTGTTTAATGGGACTACTCTACGAGTGAAATTATGTCCAACAGAGTTCCAAAATGCGCCAATTATTGAAAAGAACTGAAAGCGTACTATGTTAAAATCAGAGATTGTGTTACAGTACATACGCTGTTTATTGGACATCGACATAGGGATCAATGTAAACCGCCTCCTAAGATAGATGAGTCACAGTTGATATGGTCCAGTAGGTAGAAGCGGTAAAAAATCTGATAGAAAAAGCGACAAACTTCTTGAAATACACCGCCCTGATTGGGGCATAGTTAAACACTATTGGTTTTAATTTCACGAGTGGAAGAGTCATTTATAGTAGTTACAAAGTAGTGTAATATTGCAACTTGTGTCCAAGTAATTCTTCAGAGATTACCTAAAAAAATCATCGGCCCAGATGACTCAACGACAGCTGTCGTCGCTGCGGGGTCTTTGACAGGAAATCCAAGGTTTCAATTCTCGACGATGGTGGATTGACTCAAGTTATACAGAGATCGAATTTAGCCACTCTCTGGAAGGTAATTCTAGCGGTCAGCTGCTATGATCGAAAATGTTCCAGTTTGCTATGGTTCAGGGGCGGATTCAGAAAGTATTTAAGGAGAATGGGGTGGGGGCAATTTAAGTTCGGACCCCATAAATATTTTCGAAATAATAAAAAAAAATATTAGTTCGAAGAAAAACTAGTAGAAATGCGCGGATACCGAATCTTTTCCACTTAAGAGTTTTTACTCAATAATTACTTTTTTTTAAATAAGTACAGGACATCTTAAACTGATTTACAGTTGAACGAATTTTTGCAGTCTCAAGAATCAATGTTTGAAAATTGGTTTGTGGAGTTGGGACGTACTTCAAATTTCGAGCAGCAAAGATTCAAGTCGAAAATAAATGAGGGATATGACTGCAGAAACGTTCTACATATTCATTACACGAAAATAGAAAATTCAAAAGACATTTCAAAAACAAGTTCATAAGAAATATGAAAATTAAACATAATGAATGGAGTAAATCAAACTCCAAACGACGCAGAGATAAACGAAATATTAAACATTGTGTTTCATCTGCAATGTCAAACAGTATCATTTACAATTATTTCTTCCCTAAAATCAAAGCTTAGAAATTCGTAGCACGTATCTGGAATTCAAAGGTGGAACGAAAGCATCCATCGCGATTTCTTCACTCAGTTGGTTCAAGAAACTTAGTGTTATAGAAACAAAGCTAGGTTTATTTAACACGATGGAAATCTGGAAAAAACCTTTGAATGATTTAGGTGCCCATGTTGACTGATGGGCATTAAAAAAAATACTTTTCGGTATCAAGGGACCCAGAAAACATTTTCGTTAAAATTTCCAAATCAATTTTCCGCAGCATTCACAGCTCTATACAGCGTATATTACTCAGTACACACGCTCGTACACGAAAAAGTAAAAACGTACAATGTAAGAAGAGGTTGCATGGATGACACAGATCTTAAACACAAAATCTCGTGTTTTGTCACAGAAAGACGACCGATGAGCCTTTGAGTGAGAAGGATGCTCTCCAGCCAGGAAATAAACTGGTTGCTGCCGGGTACGCAGTCTACGGCAGTGCCACCATGATGGTCCTGACTTGTGGCCGCGGTCAGGGAGTGAACGGCTTCATGCTTGACCCGGTAGGATATGTTAATGTAAACAATGACAAACGTGATTCCAAACGTTTCGAGCACTTCATACTGTACTACTGTTAGCGACACACGAGTCGAAAGTACGTTATTTTGTGTCAATGACCCAATGGTATTTTAGTAGTAATACTCCAATGATAGTTTAATAATAACGTTCATCAAAAAATTCTGCCTACAAAAATACTAATTCTTATTACCTAATCATTACATCATCTTCACATCCTTAATCATTAAGGATGTGAAGATAATATCTGGGGTGGATTATAGTTCTAAAGTGTTTCCATTTTCAATTAACTGCAAACTGGAATGCACAGCCTATTAAAAAAAACAACACATTTCTGGGCTGATTTCCATTACTTTATTTTCATATAACTTTTTAATAGTGAACAAGTAAATCATACACAGGGTATGAAATTAACTTTAATGAAATAATTAAAAAAAAAAAAAATAAAAAGTCAAAGTTAAACTATTGACAGGCTTGCAGATGTCTTTGAGAGCCTCTTCCCAAAATGCCAGGTAAAAAAGGGTAATTAGGGATTGAACACTTTACAAAAATAATATTAGTAGTTTTAGAATACAAGGCCACAGGGCTCCTTTGAGAGTTTTCCAGGGAAGAGAAGCAGGTGGCCAGCTCCTCTGTGCATGCCTATGAGTGATGCAGCCTGATGAATACATCACTTTATTTTTTTCATAGGCCATTGGTGAGTTTGTACTGACGGATGTCAACATTCAGATCCCCAATCGTGGCAAGATATTTAGTATAAATGAGGGCTATTCACATTTATGGGATGAAGCAGTAACAGAATACGTGAAAAACAAGAAAGATCCCAAGGTAATATTCAAACTAAAATTAGAAAAAATAGAAATCTTAGTAAAGAACATGCTGGATCAAACTCGCTAAATTATTCTTGTTTCAGCAAGGGAAGCCTTATGGAGCTCGTTATGTAGGTTCCATGGTCGCAGATGTACATCGAACATTGAAATATGGAGGTATATTCATGTACCCAGCAACTAAAGATGCTCCTAATGGAAAAGTATGTATTTTACTGGTGTAAAATAGATTTAAGTTTCTCTACATTTTGTAATCACTTTCTCTTATATTGCTTTTTTTTTCTTTTCTAGCTGCGACTACTTTACGAGTGCAATCCTCTTGCATTCATTGTTAAAGAAGCTGGTGGACTTGCAACTACAGGCAAGATTCCTATTTTGGATGTGCAGCCGACAGCAATTCATGAAAGATCACCTATATTTTTGGGTTCCAAAGATGACGTGCAAGACCTTATTGATCTATATAAAAAATATTCAAATTAAAAAAAAATAAAAAAAATTAATAATCCAGTATTTTTAGGATTTTTGTCAATATGAGACTGATTAAAAAAAGTACAATAAAAATGTGACTTCCATAAATTTATTTACAAATCTTTCCACTGCCATGTCATACACAAAGTTTATCCAATAATTATAAAGTACATCTTATATAATTAGGATGAATAAAGAATGGTCTCAGTTGAGACCTATTATTGTACTCAATATAAAACACACGTGACAAAAGTACAAAGAAAACAGCACTAATACTGAGAGAAGTGCATGTACCATACATAAATCATTAAGCAAATTTTGGAAGTTACACAATTAATTCATATATTATGAATTCACACACTACAACATTATGAAAATATCCTTTGTCATTGAAATAAAGAAATTAAATATGAAAGATACTGATAAAGACTTTTGGTAGGGAGAAAAAAAAATCCTCAACAAATACTCTATATATTTCACATTAGCCTTTTCTGTCACAACATAAAACTTTAGCAAACTCTCAATGGATCTCTAAGGTAAATATATATACTGTCTTCTTAAGCCCGTAATGATGTGAACTGATGAAACACATCTAATATATGAGGGTCAAGATCCTGAGTGAAAAGAAGTGTTTCAAGGGTAGAACTATACTTCTGAACCTGTTCATGATGCTGGAAAACAATTGAACAATTAGCAAGTTGTAATATGAAACCAAAAGAAACAATAATAATACAAGAATGATTATACATACAGCTAAAAAGACTTGTTGCAGTCTGCCAATTGTCCATTTATACCAATGCGTATTAAAGTCTTTTCCGTCTGTGTCACTTCGAACTAAATGCTCAGACAGTATCATAATAAATCTCTGAAAATGAAATAAAATTAAAATATAATACATATTTTGAGTTAATATTTTTCCTAAATTCTTCACATTACTTTTTGGTAATTAAAATTAAAAAAGCAATTTACTAAAGTATTTATTTAGTAATCAAATACACTCTTGCCTGGAATATAATGAGAAAAAGAGTTTTCTGATCTGCCTGGGCAGTTTCAAGTCGTTCTTCCATGCGGACTACCATTTCTTCAGATGGCTTCTCACGGTCATCACCTTTTCGCGAGTTGTTATTACTGCCATCTGCATCATCATCTGATTCATCACTATCGCTTTCTGCTCGTCTTATTCTTTCACTGGCATCTGCCAGCTCACGGGTGAGTCTACTAACATGCTTGTTCATTTTCCTGATTGTCAAATGTAAAATCTCCCAAAGGTACAACCTGCAAAGAATAACAAAATAACAAAAAAGTTTCCAAAAAATTAAACATGCCAAATAACATACAGATAATTTGACTAAGTTGTTTCCTTTTGCCCTCACTTCGTAAATTCTCCAGTCATCTCCTTAGAAAAGATCCAATTTGCTACAGCAGAGCATTCCACAATCTGTGTTTTTAACATTTTATCCACCAGCACACACATCATTTGCTGATGGGTCTGCCATAACTCAAACATGTTTCTCAAAATGCATATTTGAGCTTCTTCCGATTCAGCCAAGATCTACAGAATTTGTCAAAAGATCACAATGTAAGACATAAACTAACAATTAATGTCTAGTCTTCATTACAGAACATAAGACACAAACTTACTTTAAAAACATAATGAAACTTTGAAATTGCAGCAAAGGAATGAGAAAAGCTCTTTGCTCCAAGATTTAAAAGGGTTTGAACAAAAACATCAATTTTTAAGGGATTACATCGGGAATCTGCATCATCATCATCAGTACTAGGATTTGGGAGATCTTTCAGTACATTGAGAACTTCTTCAGGTGTACATTTCTGCCTTATAGACACAACCAACTGATGAGCAGCAGCAGTTCCTGGCAATGATCCTGAAAGTAAATGTTAAACAAATTGTTTATTTTAAAAACTACTCATTTATAATTCATTTGATAGACCTATTCTAAACAAAATCCAAAACTAACGCAGTAAATTACTATGCAACTAGTCCTTTATTAGAAAATTATATTTTTATCTGTCAAAAGAATTCTTCAGATTCTTTGTAGCTTGGCATTTTGATACAACAAAGGAATTTTTAAAGTACTACTGATGAATGAAATAAACAAGATACATTCTATTTATAAAGTAATTATTTAAGTACTGAATGTAATAAAAGATATCTCCGTGCTACTTGCTGATCTTGCCCAAATTCACGACTAACATAAGAAGTAATTCACTTTACTTCAAATGGCAAAAAAGTAAGTGAATGAATGAATTTGGTACATGCTATAGTGTAGAATTTGAAACAATTACTTTGAAATCATTATTTGGTAATTGTTTGGTAGGATTTTCAACACTGGAAGGATAGTGAAATCTATGAGACAAGAGTTTATCATGATGAGATTACAAAATTTGAAAATTATTTGGGGAGGGAAAAAACCAACATCTTTCAAGAGTGTAATATTAAAAAGAATAAGTATAGAAACAAAATTAGTCCACAAAAAAAAAAGGATACGACTTTCAAAACATGATGATTCAGACCTGAACATTTTTAGGACCCTTCAATAAATATGTTGGAATCTGTAGGGGGGATGAATTCAGGAGGAGAGAAGTTTTACATTCAGTATTTCATTTAGTCCTGAAGGACACTTGTTACAGCTACCTCTGATTGGCTGGAAGTACAGAAGGAAGGAGGAGTGGGAGAACCACATCTTGGAGAGGGGAGAAAAGGTGAGAAGATAACAAGGGTGGTAGCCTCAGCAGTTGCAAGCAGTTTCAGCAGAACAAGTGAAGTGCCAGTGTCTTCATCTCCGAGGAGTTTTAAGTGATGTTCAATCAGTTTTCTGTTCTCAGTTTTAAGTGAAAATGCTGCTTCAAGAGAGAACATTTTTTGCAGTGGTAAGATCAAATAATCAAATTATGATAATACTTCATTAAATTTAGTGCATGGGCATTTACTTAACAGTATATGAGTGTTCATAATACAAATAAATATCATTAAATCAATTGAAAATTATGTTTTGCTTTGTTGTGTTCCAAATATAGTTAATATTGATCACTTATTCTGAACACCTAAAAAAACTGATTTTATGTAGAATAAAAATCTTACACAATATAACTCCAAAATTAACATTACTTTCTTTTTTAAACTTCCTATATCTCTGTTTACATCATATCTCAAGTTTATACATGTGTTTTCAAGTATGTGATTAATTAATAAACAAAAACTAACATTAGGATTCTTAGACTACATATGTGAGAGTCAAACTCATTCAAAATTATCTCCAGCACAAATTTGGTCTTTGTGGATTATGCAAAGAATTATCTCCATACTATAAGTTTGGTAATTATTTAAATCCAAAGACAAAAACGAGATATTCTATAACTATCATAATATTTCAAAGCTTCTTGGGTATTACAGTAACATCCTCTGAAAATGTATCAGAAGTCAGCCCCTAAGATTGGAGAGCGTGTTATTTGAACAAAAACCTTCAGTAATGAATTATCTTTATGGTTATCAATGATCTCACTTTGTACAGGATAAATCTTGCTTTACTGTATTTTATACGTCTTGCATGAAGCCTCTCAAATGAAAATTTCCTAATTTCTTATTTCCCTGAAATTTCTGTCTACAGTGTCACTTATTTTTGCATAACTAAGTAAAACTAAAATTTGAAATATAAAACTCAATGCATAGGTTACCAATCAATTATATTTTAATTTCAATGTTGCCAAAAAAGTATGTAAGGTGTTTGAACTTTTACACAATTCTGAAGTCAAAAAATGGATTAAAAACATTAATTAAAAACAATTGAATTTATGTAATAAAAGTATAAATTGTGAGATATTTTGTTAGAAAGTTCTGATTTTTTCAAAACAATGACAATCATTTGAAAATTTTCAATAACTAATCCTAATAATCCTATTAACAAATTTTGAATGCCTTTCCTAAAAACCTGATTTTATAGTGCATTGGTGAAGCTGTTACACCATGACTAACATTGTTTACAGTATTTCAACAATTATTTTTGCAAATTGAAGCTGAGATATTATTCTAAGGCATGAAACATTATTAAAGCTGTTAAATACTTCTTTTAACTGAACCAAAACACAAAGTTTAAAGAAAGGAGCATTGAGAAAGCAACAACCTTCATTATCAACTAAATATTAATGGGATTATACTATTCTGATTTACAGACTGACTAGCAACTAATGTGTTATTACGAAGAAAGAATTATTAAACTATATGAACTAGTTTTAAAGATATGAGTGTCACTAGGAAATAATTGTTTGATGATATAAACAATACAAAAGCATCGAAAATTAGGTTTCAAATTTAACTTTTTCATTATGTGTTTTCCTCAATAACTAGATCTACAATCCAAAAAATATTAAATAGCGGAAAATGAAAAAAGTACTCTAGTAATTGCCACATTCTATAAAATGCTCTGTTGATAGACTTCACAGAAACATCACATTTAACACACATTACTGGATAGTCTTGCAAATTGACGTATGCATAGTGGAGGTGGGGGCGGACCGCAACGTACCGTACCGGAAACTAGTGACCACAGCTGAATGTTTGACGGTTTTATGGTGGATCAATTTTGTTTTATTATACCTAGAAAGTACTGCACGGCAGGAGGGTCGCTCCTAACTGCGGGGCATATATGAGCAAAATGGGCGGGTCGAGACACGTTATTTTTCGAGATCAAAATTAGATTTTTGCGACGGAAAAACTGCTTAGGTTTGCTACAGAACCATCTAGATAGGTTAATGCCATTTTAGGAGTAGCGTGCCTTAGCGAATTCCACTCGGCACTATCACTTTCTTATTTTCGTCTGTTTTTTTTTCTAAGTAATAGCGATTTCTCGAATAATGTTATTTTCGGAGAAGTAGGTATCACGAATGCACTTCCCTCCCCATTTCAAACACTGCCTCAAGGAAACGTTAGATCGTTCATGACACACAGCAACAGGAAAGCTAGAAGCTTAGGCCCCTCACGCAATATAATAATAATAATAATAATAATAATAATAATAATAATAATAATAATAATAACAATAATAATACCCATTAATGTTCTAGGACTACTAGTAGTTCCTACTTGTCTCCTGGTTAATAGTTGCTCATCTTAAGTATTGCTGAACAAATCCACACAAATCCGTCCCCCCCATCAAAGTAGAACACACGCTCCCCAAGAATAAATAAAACATTTAGTTCAGCACTGTAATAAATCATATGTTTTAACAAAAACAGCACTCGCAAATACTGCAATAACATTGTATAAACGGATACACAGTAAAACAGTGCTTCACATATCATAAGTGTAAACAAGTGCCAATTTCGTTACCAGGTTTCGCGACGTGAACCATAGGAGCAACATCCAACATCAGCACATCCTTTCTCGCATTATTTATAACGGTTAACTACTAATACATTTTACCTCCTATTTTACGAAAACTTCACTCTATCATTAATAATGTAGTTTGTTGGAAAATGTGTATGTATATCTATATCTATCTGTTTGTGTGTCTGTGTGTGTGTGTGTGTGTGTGTGTGCGCGTGTGTATGTGTGCGCGCGTGCGTGTGTGTGTATTTCAACTCTCGAAATTCCAAAGGTTTAAAATGGTCAAATATCGAACCTACGCCATAATTTAGGGCGAATTTTTCTTAATTTTTTTTAAAAAAAGTGCCGTATTTGAAAAAAATATGTTTACATTTTTTTTTCATAAGGCCATAATTTTATTCAAAATTAGGCAAAAACTACTCGTATTTTCAAAAGAGTATATGACATTAAAGATATAATTTTGAAGAAAATATTATACTACGAAAAATTCTAACAGCAATAATTTGGTAGTAGGATGGGGTGCAGAAGTTGAACTTCTGCAATTTTGGACACTTCATACATTTTACTGAACATCAGCCATGCGCCATTTGCTTATGCATAAGCAAACTATCTTCTATTACTGATTAAAAAAAAAAAAAAGCAATTTTTTAGAATATTTTGAAAATGTCTTGAGGCCTCATGCAAAGTAATGTACTCTCAAAAATTTTAACATTTCTTTCAAATTCGATGGGATCCCAGAACGAGCACGATCCATTTTGGAAAAATGCATGGGCACATTTAGAGGCAAAACGTGTATTATCTGCGCTAGTTCTCTTGAGCCCTCATTTCGCTGGATGTGAAAGGAGTGGGAAGGTTGGTTATTTTGATGACAGGACTATGATATCAATCGGTGGATCGTTTGTCGAAACAAAATAGTGAGCGAACATTTCTGATTATCAGATTTTGTAAACACCCCTCATTGGTATAATTTATGCGTAATTCCACTTCAGTTCAAGGAGTGCGGGAAGGTACTCAGAGCTCAAGAAAACTTGCGGGTGTAATATTTCCGTCAAAATCTTGACATTGATTTTTAGCACAATTACAAAACTCAAAACTACCTATACGACTGAGTAAAAATAAACGGGTTAGTTTAATCTCGGATGTCTTTATGGCGCAAGTTCACTATTCGAGTTTTACCGAAATAAAGGTTTGGTTCAAAACTGATGTGTTGGCTACCTGTGCGAGGCACCGAAAGTTCATTTCCCTCCAAATCGCGAATACCAGACGTTCGGCCTTGGGCCTTCCTGCCATTACGTTTCTACGGCGGCAGAACCCGGGAAGTTCCAACGGTTCTGGCTCTTCCCGCTCGCGTTTCATAATAGACGCCGCCGCTACTCCCGAAAGACACTTCGGAAAAACAGATTCAGAAGCGATTTTACGCACGAAATATGAGTGAATTACTTCCGTGAAATGCTTCGATTTATTGTAGAATTTATCGTAGAAATTTTTGATTGTGTTAGGAAAACAATACGTTAAAAAACAATAACAAGAGCCACTAAAAAGTAGCTAGTGAGTATAAACGATTATCATTTTCCGCATACGTCAATCTGTTTTATTCTGAAAGCATTTAACTCGTAGGAGTGGATGGTTCAACTTGGCTACTCACTGGAACCGAATCCAAACAATCACATGTCTCCCGGAGAGCAACCTGGACAATGCAACTAGTGTAATATAAAAGATATTCTCGAAGGTTTTTCCACTGAATGCCGTTCACACAAAAGAGCTTTGTTCATTGTAACTTCCTCAGAGAAGTCACAAGTGAGCTTCACAAACTTTGATCTTTGCTTTCTCCTCTGAGTGAAAGTGGTCTTCGTCCTACCTGTACACATTTTTAATGCAGTTATTTCATCCCATGTAACAACTGAAAACAAACTTATCTTTTACACTAACAAATTTTCTGATTCCAGGTGTCAATATTACAATTTCTACCATATGCAGCAAATGCTAATCAAGGATACAAGGATTTCACTTCTCAAAACTACAGGAAGAATGATAGACAAGGTCGAGTTATTCTGTACAGACCTATCAGACACAATCGTCATTTTCAGGATGAGCAAAAACATTACTTCAATAGACATTCACAAAACAGTGGAAGAATACCTTACCAAAATCAGCAAAACGTAAACCGATTTACATCCCAATATGAACACAACAAATGGAACAGAATTCCATTCAATGCTGGCCCAGACTCCAATCGACAGTTTGACAGAAGACATGGCTATAGCTATCCCAGCAACTACAATACCCAAAGGAAGCAAACTTTTCATGATAGAGAAGAGAGTATTGCTGATTATGTTAAACGCTATAATTTTGAAAATAACCCTCAGGCTACGTTTTATAACGATCCCAATGATTCGAATTTCAACCAACCTATTGAAGAAGAAATTATAATAGAGGAAGAGCCAGATGATTACAAGCATCTAACACCTGATTTTCCAACAGATTTAGGGCACAAAGATTTGACCAAAGCAACTTTCCCAGGGAGTAGACCATCTCCTGGAATTTCAAATATTCCAAACAAACATCATTTCTCTACAGAAAATGGTCCAATACATGAAGATCATAGCCATTTTTACTACCAAAAACCTGACTATGATTTGAGTGATGATAGTTCTGATAAGGGTATTGATCCAGAACTAATTGAAATCTACAAAAAAGTAATTGAAGTATATAAAAAGAAACAAAGTCAGATAAAAAGGCAAGGAAAGAAACCCTTTTATTTTGGCAATCCGGAGAAAAACCATGCTAATTCATATTTTCTGCAAGATAACAAACATCTTGGTCACATTGCTGGAAAGAATTTCTTGTATGTACCAGACGATGGAAGCAAATCAAATATTCCCACCTCATATCATCCAAATAAAAAGGGATTTGTATTTCCAGGACCTGTTCAAACACATAATAAGCTATCACCCACATACCCACCTTTTCAAGCCTCGCCACAATTTCATAAATATTCAGAACCAGATCCATTGTACCATCCCAATGGAAATTCATTCCAATTGCATGACAAAACACACATTTCTCCTGCTCCTACACCAATACCTCAAGTAGCCACTACTTCAATTATCTCACCAAGTGTCTCGGATATGCAATCAACAACAGAAAATAATAAAAACTTTCCAGACTCAATCAATGCACAGTTGCCTCCTCCAGAAAAAGATGCAGACACCAACGTACCATATGTCGCGGCAACTATTGTTACACCAAAAACATCCTCCGAAACAACCTTATCAACCCATCTTCAAACATCATCACTCCCAGAATCTGCATCAGAGACCCCTACCACAGCAAATTTATCTCCAACATTTTATAGAAATGAAACTTTCCATGAAGATGGTAAAATAAAAGAACATGATGATAACATAACATCAAGTACCATGACACACTTTGAATCATACAATGAAAATTTTACATCAGTTAATGAAACATCATTAACAATCGTTCCAGCTACTGGGCAACCTGAACTGTTTTTTCTTCCAACAGCAGCAGAGGAAATTTCTGGAAGTTCCTCAAAAGAATCACCAATTTTTCAAGAAATTGTTCCAAACTTTGATGATTTAAACAAACCTACAACATACAGGCGGAACTTCACTCCATCTTCAACAACTTTCGCAATTTCTACATCCTCAGAATCAACAATCCGGAATGAAATTGACCCTACTGCTCATACCATCTCTACTTCAAATGCAAACCACAAACAAGAACAGAATGAATCAACACATACAATAAATATAGATAATGAAATGAAAAATCATGAAAAGGAGCTCCAAGTTTCACATGGACAGTTTATGGAAAACCAAAAATTCAGTAATAATAATGTTCCTTATATTGATTCTCTTTCAACTGATATTCATAACACTAGTAATACACTTCTGACATCAGAATCTACTACAATTGCACACCCTAACATAACTGACATAAATATCTCATTTGCAAATCAGGAACAAGAATATTTTCCTTCACACTTCACTTCCAAAAACGAAGTGTCAGAATCAACACCTACAAGTAATATTCAAAAATCAACTGAAAATAATTATTCTACTAATTCACTTCATTTAGGGAAAGCTTACGAAACTACACCCAATAACATTCTAAAGGCACTTGAATCGGACAACAATTTCCATTATTTAATGTCGATAATTAATCAAGCTCGAACACATGTAATATTAAGTCAAAACCATACACATACAAATGTGTAAATTATCATGAATCATACAACAAACATTAATAATTTAAAAATGGCAGAATAATGTTAATTTGGTAAATGAGGATGAGGAGTGGTATTTTACTAAAACATTATACCATGTATACATTTTTATATAAATATTATTTGAGATAATGAATTCCTACATAAAAACAAACACTTGCTTCTTCTAAGTGAATTAAGAATCCTTCATTATTTATTATTGAAAAGGAGTGAATATGTAAATAGTTATAATTTCTGTACATAAATATATTTATGATGGTAATGTATTTAAATAAATTCTTTGTTAACTAGTGCACTATTTAAATATATAAATGCATTCTCCAGTGGGAAGGTAAATTTTCAATGGAAAGCCAAGAAGTATCTTACTTTCAAATGGTGATCAAACTAGCATGTTGATTTTGTAGCTTGGTTTGTAAATTTGATTTCAATTTGGGAAACATGCTAGTAACGAAAGTGAAATGAACCTGAAACAATCACCCCATAAAATAATATTAATTATTTTTGCTTCATGGCATTATTGAAATTTGCTTTCTCACATATTCCAATTGTAAATGATTGAAAACGAGAATTTTATTCTAATGAACTGAAAGATGAAATGTTGCTTTGAATGATGTATGTGATCCGAGAAAACTTCAACTAGTGAGTTGGCAGAAGAGTTTTTGATTACTATACTATGAGTCATTACAGTTACTTCCTTTCCCATGTCAATGCCTCAACTGATGCAGTGTGAGTTTGTGTATTAGCCATTTTTTTTAAACAATAAATACATACTAAAAACTTACCTGCTCCTTCAGCTGTGTACTTATACTGAGGTTCAGGCTTCACTGGAATGAGAGGCTCATATGATTCTGGCATCATATCTTTCACTCTCTGATGATAAGACAACCTACAATCAAAGTGTGATCAGTTTGTTTGTTTATTAATTTATCATGAATATAAATCCCAAATAATATATATTTAAGATAACCTGAGACACTTCAGCAACACTTCACGAACAAATTTTGGTTTTGGATGCTCTGGATCCAGTTGCAAGCAGCTTTCCCAATCATCCCAACTCCAACGGAACTGGAAGTTGCTCAAGTGGTATGAAAACCAATTGACAAACCTAGTAACAATAAAACTTTATTAAAATTATTTATTTATTAGAAAATTACACTGTTCACAAAATAGAATAATTATGTCACTTGCCTGTCAAAACATGTTGTATTCATTGTATCAATTCGAAGAAATAATATTTCTGTAGCTTGAGCTAGTACCTGCAAACACAAAACACATTAATACACGCTTCTAAACCCGATTTTTATATTATTATTATTTTCTTAAAAAATCTTAAGTATGACATACCTGAGGCATTGTGCTAGGCTGAAGCCTACACAACTCAATCAAAATAGATCCATACACAATTTCCAAAAACCTTGGATTTGGCATGTGAAATAACTCAGCAAAAATAATTTCAACAATGGAATAGTCAAGAGGAATTTTCTCTTTGTAAGGGAAGTTTAGTAAATGTGCAGCACTGTAAAATAAAAGTATTGAACAATAATTATTAAGACTAACACACAAGTCACAGAGGATAAATAACACAGAAAGTGATTTGAACTTTATATAAGAATTACATCACATTTAACATATGCTCTGAATGTGAAGGAAAACTGCAATATAGACAAAGAAGAACTTGGTAATTTTTGTTGGAGTAGTAAATTATGATTCTTGCAATGAAACAAAGGAGTCTTCTGAAAATAGCTTTGGAGAATCTTATGAAAACAAAGGGACAAACATTCCTCATTACCATAATCTTTGCAGCTTAACAATCATCCACAAAGACGTAACAAAGGCAAATGAAGTGTATCAAAAATTATGCAAGTCATTTAAAAATGCTAACATTATCAACAATAACAAGTGCAACAGAGCTTTTCATACTAGTTACACACAACTTTTCTCTCAGGAAGAGATAGAAGCTATGTGTTCAACAATTTATATCTGCATCAAAGAAAAATTAAAGGGTATAAACAACAGTAATTGCTTTAGATAAAGGTAATGAGCAAGGAAATTGACAGTAGATTACAAGTGCAATTCTATTAAAACTTGGCCCCCTCATGTCAATGACAAGATATTGCTGTATCCAATCCTCTACTTTAATATTCAGGGATTAAAAGAGAAGTACAATTTATTGGATATTGTACAGATTCAACATATAATAGGTATTTGTATAGCAGAACAAATGTTGCAATCTTATGAGCTTGTCATAGCATACTCTGAAGTCCGTAAGTATGTTCTCTGTAATTTAGAGAAAATAAAACAAGAAATCTAGAGAAAAAAAGACATGGTGGCTCAGCAATAGTTCAGAAAAAAGCCTGTTCAAAAAAACATTTTCAAACAGCTATCATTTAGAAACTCCATTTGATGGATAAATTTTGGATTTTTTAAAATGTGCAGCTTCGGGAGCAGCAGGACTATTGCGCGCATATAAAGATTTGCTAAAATTCCCAAAATCGTTTGTCACAAGGAAGCATGTAAATAGATCTAAGAAGTCAAATAATGATAAATTTCTTGTAAGATCTGTAATCAAATACACTTGCATTAATGAACACTTAACATTGTTATTGCATTGACTTCAGGCCACGATGCAAAAGATCTATTGAGTAATGCAATGTAATGAGTAATTGAGTGTGTAGTAACAAGAGTGATCCTTCTAGGTAAGTGATGTAATGAATACAGGTTTCTCTAATCACAATGCAACAACAAATTGATTACAAAAGCAAAAAACAAACAAACTCAACATAGAAAACCTATCTGCACAATCACAGAATATAATACTGCTATATTGGTAAACATGTTAGGATGCCTAAATTGACTGTATGTTTATTGCGAGAATTTGCATTGCATTTTCAGAATTTTTATACACAATTATTTGGACTGAATTTAGCATATCCAGGACAAATGGTAAAATCCCAAACCACTCAAAAGAATTTCAATAAAAATGGTTAACCCCTGAGTTGTGCAAGATTAAGAAGCAAGGAAAAAGCTTTATCTTCTGACAAAAAATATGCCATTTCTGGGTTTGAAGAAGCTTATAAACGAATAAATTACAATTTTAGAAGAGAAATACACAAATTAAATTAAAATTTAATAATAAGTTGCTGAAACCATGGAAATCCCTAAACAAATCTGGAAGATTATCATTTTATTACAACTTAATTTTAAAAAAAAACACGCACACACACCACAACAACAACCAACACCCCTGCCCGCAAAGAAATAGAAAGTATGCTACTGCCAAATAACTATAAAAATTTCTTTACTGATTGTGTGTAAGAAGAAATTGTAAATGTTCCAGACAGGCTGGTTCATGCTATCTAAACAATGTAAATAACTCCAACATTGTGGGATTTCACTTTCCAGCATGTAACTTTTTAAGAATGTACAATTAACTGTCTCAGCAATAGCAATTCAATTTGTGCATACATTTGGAAGCAAAATTCATTCACAAATAAATTTATGCAATATTTTACTAATATAATTTATTTATTAATCATACAAGTTATTTGTGAGTTAACTTTTCTCCAAACTTTCACAAAACATTATTTTATTTTACACCATTTAACATTCACCTTTACACAATATCTTTGGTGAATAGCAAGATAAAATCTTCCCAAAGAAATCTGTTTAGAAACAAAATTTTCAATTTCTGTTTAAACACTTTAGTTTTTCCTTCAGCTTCCGCTATAATCATTAATTTTCAGATCTAAAATTGTTCATTCTCAAATACCAATTGGATTGGTTGGAAGCATGGAGCCTACTAATAAATGTCTTTTTGACTTTGCACCCAGATCTGGCCTTAGCTGCAAGGCGAATCCAAGTATCAGTGGGTCACAAAATTGTCCCACGGTATTCATACCATGGATTACGAAGACAATATTTCTGGAATTCCCCCTCAACGAAGGCTACGCCAACAAAGTGTAATCAGTAGTAGGAGTTCATTATCTTTTACATTACACATACTCTATAATAACTAAGTGACATGAAGTGATATGGTTTGTCATTTGGTTGACACGAATTAAATGCTGCTTCCATTGCCTTGGAAATAGCTTAAGGCCTAAGAGAAAAAAATACTAGAAAAGCTAACAAAGCAAAATAAAGTAAGCTGACAGGGCTGGCAAAAAAGAGAGAAGATGAAGAAAGACTACACTCACAGAACCTGGCCATATTAACGTGACCACACTATATATTCTACATATTGCCATTTCTGGTAATATTTGCTACTGATGTATTAGAAATTAACTTTTTGAAAAACTTGATGTTGTGATGGGGGTTCAAGTTCTATTAATGTCTTTATTTCTCCTTTTTCTTTGGAGACATGTTCTTCGGCCTTCTCATCACAAAACACACACCAAATTTAGGTGAAGATTAAATTGCACAGAAAGTTATTAAAAATACAAATTTATGAAACAAAAACAATAAAATCAAGAAAATATCAGATGAAAAAATTAATGTATCAAAACAACTTGCACTTATTCCAATAAAACAATTATTCCAAAAGAAAATTATGTAGGCTTTCATTCCATAAACCAATGTGGCTTCCCACTGGACCAATGTTGAAAATAGAAAAAAAAAATAATTGTTGCCACATATTCATGAAAGAGTTACCACTACTAAAAGTCATCAATTAAGATACAAGTTTCACCTTAAAACAGAAAAGCAAAAAACACTACCTATTAAATTTTGTGGGTGGTTGCAATAATATGGCCAAAGACTGAAGATGGCAAATGTCATGACAAGAATTCAGAAATCAAATGATAAGACAATGAAATGTTGCATACATATAAATTAAATTTTTTTCTAATAACAAAATCTAAAGAAAGACAGAAAGAAGATATTAAAATTAAGAAACTGATTTACTTTTCTTGTAAAATTTTATTTATTTAATTACAGGTAACAGGAACAAACTGGAAGTTGCTATTACAAGTTACAGAATAGTGTATAGACCTGGATGGGCAAAATACTTTAAATTTAGTATTTAAATACTACACACATTTGGACTTGATGTGCTAAATACAAATGTATTTAAAATACCTCAAATATTGTAAACATATAATAATTCATCAGACAATACACTCCTAGTTGGCAAATGTCTACAACAGATTATAGCTAATTACTGAAAGCAATATCTCACCAATCCTTCCTTTCTAGTTGATGCATCTCCACAATTTGATGTAAATGTTCCTCAATCAAAAACCTCTCAATGGAATGTGCTCCAGGAAGAATGGGACCCTTGAAAATAAAAATAATAAATTCTTAGAAACATGAAATGTCTACCAGCCCATAAAAAATATTTTCTTAAGTTACTAACCTCTGGACAATCAGTATAGTCAAACATGCGGAATACAACAGATGGCATAGGATACAGATAGCTAGCATGATGAGGTGGTGGCAAAATAGTGGGCAAATTATGTTGTAGAGCTTCACAAAGAATGCTGTCAAATGCTAAATATGGTCTTGGAATGTGTTTCTCAGCCCAATTATCCTGTCGCAATTTGCGAATTTGGGCCCACAAACAGTCCAAGTACTATAAATAAAAATTATGTAACAATTCATTAACAACATAAAAATAATCATTTAAGAACACAATGATAATCAAATCACCAAGGTATTCAATAATAATAATAATAATAATAATAATAATAACAATGATATCATAAATAGAAATACTCAGTGTATTTCAAATGTATTGGAAATGTACCTCTTCTTGTGGGTGAGGAGTATCTGAAGTCCAAACTCTCAAAGCAGCATGATGTTTCTTGTGGCGTTTGCCAAGAAACACCTCAATGGACACTAACAAGTGCTCCAACGCTTGTTCTTTCTTCTCATACAACTCTCGTCCAACCCATGGAAGAGTCGAAAGAACAGCATATACATACCAATCTTTTCTCACCTAAACAGATAATTATAATTCATTTTCAACACAAAGATATCACACTGAAATATAAACTTTGCTGAAAATATAAACTTGGAAAGAAATATATTTTGGGAGAAAATGATGTGGAGACAATGAATTTTAAAAAATTAATGAGGAAGAGAGGAGAAGAGAAGGAGGAGAAGTAAGGGGGGATGACGAGGAGAAAGCAGGGGGAGGAGGATGAAGAAGAAGAAAGATTCCATATTTTTCTGTTCTACAATTTCGATTGCATATTCATATTTCCTAAATCTAAATATGAACAGAAGTTTAATTAATAGTCCAGGATGAGGAATTTTTGAAACTATCCTGAAAACTGTCATTTCATCATTAAAGTTAACCCGACTATTTCAACATGATCTTAAATCTTTAAGATTGATTTCGTTAGACATTCTTGGAAAGTCATATTAAATGAGTTTGCTAGCATTGCTAATAGAAATTATTTAATACAGTCAAACCTATCTTAAGTGGTTGCTAATGGTTCCCACAAACATTGGGTGTTAATAGAGGTGGTCGTTTGAGATGAGCACAAATTTCAACAAGTATCAATCTGTGATAAGTTTCTTTTCATTTTCTTATTTTTGTTTCCTTGTCAGAATTTTGTATTTTTTCCTAATGTCAGGTTCAATTGGTCTCTCTGTTGACGAGTTGTACCATATGCTTGAAAATTCGGATTTCGAGCCAGGAAGTAATATAGCTCATTCAGATGATTTTGTGCCAAGGAGTAGTGTGAGGATGAAGCCAGTAGTTCAAGTGATGAAAATGTCAGCGGAAGTCGATGCAATAGTTGATATAGTCCAATCTTCTCAACAGGAGCAGCCAAATACCATAACAGTGAAAATAGTAGCCTGTGACAGAAATGAGCGGGATATCATCAGCACTAACTCTTTGTCATCTGGAAGAAGCGCTGTGAATGTCTTGAAAGAACCAGGTGGTCCCACGTTGTGGGCATGACAGCAAACAAATGGATCTGTGGTAAGTTCCTTCTGTTTGTTATTTGATGAACCAATGCTTTGCCTCGTGAAGAGACACACCGAATCAGAAGCATAAAAAGTACTGAAAAACAACTGGACCAAGTCTCATGAAGAGTTGGAGGCAATGATAGTCATCATGTACGTTCAAGGAGCCTTTTGTACAAAGACTATCTCAGTGGAACCTGACAAAGACTGAAATTTCAGTCAGAAATTTAAAAAAATCTGTCGAATTGTGTAAATTAGGTACTCTTATACTTCTGTATTAATTTTTCTTTCTGAACAAATATATTTATTAATATAAATTAATTTCTTTTGTAAATTATAAACAACATGTTTCTGGAGTGTTTCTATGCTTCTGCAATGCAAATTTTTGCCTAGAAAGCTATTTTTCAACCCAAAGTTTAAATGTTTATTGCAGCTTACCCATTTGGAATATTACAGTAGTTTATTAGACAAAATATGCTTAAAATTGTTGGAAGAGCTTATTTCTGAAGTTTTGACATTTCCTCCCCAGACCCCTTATATTCTTTGTTTTTCTATTTATGGTCCTCAAAATTCTAATCTTGGAGAATTGTCACCATTGTATCACAATATCCAAATTGTTCATTACATATTTAGTAGTATATTACTTATTTTACATATTTTGCTATTTTCACATCATATTTTTTTATTGTATGAATTTTCTTGACTTTTATTACATTTTTAAATGAAAATAAGTATTTTTTTAAAAAATCAGCATTTTTTCCTTCATTATTGATAAAATCTACATGTGAAAAGTATCACAAGGTTACATGACTTGTTAAATCTTAATTTCCGAGAAAATTTGGTGATCGTCGACAAGTAATATTTCCATGAAAATGATGCACGCTGCAGTGATTGTTTGCTGGTCGTAGATATCACCATGGCTTCAATTGCATCTCTTGTAGATCAAGGTGCATATAACCTTGCTCATATGCACCTTGATCTGTCTGCTACACAGTGGTCTTGCAATAGATTACTTTTACTACTGCAATACTTACTTTACTAAAGTTTTAAGGTAACAAGTGTGCATCAACTTGTGCACTCCAAATGATTTTTAAATGTTTGAATAATTTTTAAAAATTTTTTAGCAAATTTTTTATAAATGTAATATCATATTATGTAAATGTGTTTTATAATTAGTGTATTTTAATATTACATATTATATCAGATTTTACATATTCTTACTGTCTTCATTGCATATTTTGACATTTCATATTACAACTTTTTTCGGTCTCTAATCGTGTACAACTGTAAACAAGTTCAATACAATGTTTCTGAAAAATTTCTCCACCTGTTTATATTCCTGAAATTACAAAAAGTATACAGTCTTTGGATGACTTTGAAGATATTACATAAGATAAAACAAAAAGCAATGAAATGACACTTCATTATGTTAACATTGGTACCAAAATGCAGTCAGAGCAGACCTTGTTAGATTTGATTTATAATACAAATCAAAATCAGAGCAAAAATATGTGCCAAAGTATAACAAGGCAGACGTCCCAGTCTACTAATTGTTGGCAGAAGTGAGCACTGATAACGATGAAGGCAACTGGAGAAGATAGCAATGAAGGAACAGTTAGAGGACGAGAGGGTGGGGGCAATGGGAAGGGAAACTATTGAAGTGAGGTAGAGAAATTAGAGACATAAAATAGCATGAATTCTCTTTCATTAGGAACATTAATGATTGTATGTATTAGTGAACTGCTTATTCTTCAAATTTATGTTCACTGTTGGAGATTTCAGACACTATTCTAGGAACATATCTCTGTTCAATATCTAAGATTTTCACATACCTTATGTTAAGTTGTATCAGATGTTTCGAGTTAGATAAGAATAAAATAACAAATAGGTTTCAGATTACTTAAAAAACAGCAATTCTCAAATGTTGAAATCAACGCCAAATCTGATTTTGATAAAAAGAGAAATTCTTACCTTCCAGAAGACTTAGTGCTCGTGATATTAATAGACGTCACACTATCAATTAATCCAGATAGTAAACATCTACAGTACTTTATGAAATCATAATATTTTGACATAAAATTTCAAAATTTGAATTGTTTATAACAATTTTTTTATGATCCACAAAGGTGTTTTACCCAAATGAAAATGCTTGACCACTATTTTTGAAGAATTAAAAAAATTAACAAGAAGTTGTAACAACTTTTAACTTAAATAATTAATACAGTTTTCTTTGCAAAACTTTAAATGTTTCTGTCCTGGCAGGGAAAGATCTTTTTTTTTAAGCAACTCATTAATTTTACTTGCATTTAAAGTTAATTATTAGAAATCGCTATAAATATTAAAGTTATAAATAGAAATGAACGCAGAAAAGAAAGTAAAATTTAGTTTCAAGAAAATAGAAACATATTTGTCCTTTTCTGGACATAAAACTAAATACTTCAATAACATGATACAGAATGTGTTTTAAAGAATCCCTTCAAGGATGGAAATTGTATGCAATATTTATTGTATATATATAGACACACACACACATTTTCTCTTATTATTTTAACTGATAAGACAGACATTGTCAACATACTTGTGGAACCCCATCCTCTTTAGCTGCATCTACCATGTTATCCAGTAACTGAAGGAGTGAAGCAGCAGATATGACATGACAGTTGACTAAATCTGCGAGAAATCGTAGAGAATAACGAGCAGCATTCCACTTGCAACCTTTCAGGGCTTCTTTAAAATTTCTTACCATATATTCCACAAACTGAAAAAGAAAACTTTCTGAAGTGATTCTTACATTTACACAATTACACAAGACACTTCATTATTTTGAACACATTTGCAACTTAAAATAAATATTCTGGAACTACTGCATTTCCTTACACTAGTGATTACACTAGTCAGCAACCAAAAGAATGTATAGGATTCACAGACTAATTCTGATATCTCTTAACAAAAATGATTTTAGTTTTTGTCATGTACAATTATTTTGTAAATAAATTGGCTGTAGTTTATCAGTACTCTGGGAAATGAACTGATGCTGTTTCGGATCATGTAAGGGCGTGAGTTTACAGCGCCAATTTAAACGGATTCTAGAATACACTTCATAACAGTTTTGAATATTATCTTCATAATCTTACAGATAAACAAAACGGAAATTTCCATTTATTGTAACCATTTACAACTAATAACTTTAGTTTATTAATGTTTTTAAAACTTAAATTTGGCCAGGGGAGAGATTCCACTAGAATTTAAAAATATTGAGATAAGATAACAAGAAAAATGGAATGAATCTGCACTGGGGGATTTCTCATAGATGAAAATGGGTGAAACTCATAAGCAAGTCTAGTAGATAAAAATGTTACAAATGTATTATTTGAACTTAATGGCACAATTAAAAAAATTCATTCATTCATCAAAATTGGCTCTAATTTTTTTCTTTAAAAACGTTCCTTGTTTATATCAAAACAGGATATAAAGTGGTGATAGCTCACTTCTGGCAAACACACTGTATTTTCAAAAATTGAGAAAAGTTAACATTTCAAAACTACAAAATTGATGACAGATTTTTGTCTTAGACTAAATCAGTTTTTAAAAATCAACTCTTTAAAAAACCCATACACATTGTTTTAAAAAAACAAATAATTTCTGAGTAATTTATGCAATTTCTAAAACATTTTTTTACATCTCTCCTTGTATATACCATGTGGCAATAAACAATATGGAGCTAGTCCCATTTTTGGTGAACTCATTGTATTTTGGAAACATTGGGTAAAGACAATAACATTTTTAAGCGTTTCCCTGAGTTAAAAAGACAGACTGTTTCCGTGACCTAGAAGTAATTTGTATGGCAAGTTAACGAGAAAGATCTGAGCCCCAGTCATATTGCAGAAAAAACCTTTGGTGGTTGAAAACACTTTTACAGCTTCATGTAGTAGCGAAAGAGTCGGAAATAATGCAAGAATGTATGTGCATCACTAGCTTAAATTTGTTATAATTTGACTCAAAATTATAAAATTTGAACACAAAATGATTTTAAGACCTAATGCTGAAGATAAAATAACATTAGGACAAAAAACTAGATTCAATACTGAAGGTCCAAGACAGAAACAAACTCTTGCATTTTCAAAAATCCAGAGGTTTCAATAAAAAATAAAATAAAATGAGGCTTGTATCATATTTATAACCATACTATGCTCTACTTGAGCATAAAATTTGAAGAAAAAATGTTTGATAATATTTTGAAAACGTCCTAATGGTACCAGCAGGAATTAAATTATCTCTTTAAATTCACAAGTCCACAGGTTCACCCAGACTGATAAGGTAACATTCACTTTTGGAAAAATGTCAAATACGGTTTAGGTGCAAGAGTTGTTCAACATAAGCAGGCAAACAAACATTGGGGGGGGGGGGGGAGAGAAGGCGGAGGGGGGTTGACAGGACCTGAAGCACTTATTTCCATAAAACATTTTATCTTGATTATGTGCGTCCATCTATATTACAAACACAAGAAATAAGAAAAGAAAATAGAGAGAGAAAGAAAGCAAATTCTTGTTATCAAAGACTTGTATCATCTATCTGTCCTTGAATATAAATTGTCATAAAAGTTGAACAAAAGTACCAGAAAATTACCTCTCCACCAAAATTATAATTTTTGGCATTTAGTAGTCCGACAAGAGTGGTGTATATGGTACACTTTTCAGGCATTTTCATTGCACAATCCGTTAGTATTCTGAGGATTTTCCCTCTAAATGATCCGAGGTCAGCTTCCAAAACACTTGACAAACCCTCCAAATTGCTCTCCAAAGATGATGTACTCTATAAACATTAAATAATGTAATCAATGTCAATTAGAAATTGAAATATGTTTGGGTAAAATTCCACAATCAAATGAAAACTATAAATATTTACCTTTTCTCCCACTCTGAGAATCAATGATTCCAAGCGATCTTCAATTTCCTGATTTTCTGACACACGTCGTCTCTTCTTGTAGGCTCGTTCTAAAGTACACACAATATTCTCAGTTATAGCATACATTCAGAAATAATTCATGTTTAACTGTTTGTTTATTATCGCATAACCTCATAAGCACAGTATTTTCTCACATTTTTGGGGTAAAACATATGGGTTTGTACGTCTATATCCATATTCCACCTACGGTTCTAAATTAATACATGTTAAATCTTCTCATCCCAACAAAAAGAATTGCCTTGTCAACATTACAAACTTACCATAACCATCTTCCTCTTCATGAGGTCTTCGGCGGCTCATTTTTACGAATTAGTTGTAGGTCCACGTCTCGCAGCAAAATTACATCAAACAGAAACCAACTGTCGACAAATGTCAAGTTCACATCCACGCTACAAATGCCGATTAAACGGAAAAGCAGAGTTCAACTGTAGCTCCGCCTATGCCCGAGCATCTACACCATCTACACAACACGAAGGGTGGAAGGCATAGGAGGAAGGATAAGGGTCATATTTCTCCTTGTCTTCATGGTTCCTCCCCGGTCCTCCTCTCGCTCTTGTCGCTCGTTCGTCGTCTTTCGCCCCGCTTGCCATGTCGTCGTCAATGTTTGCTGCTTTGCCAAACTTCACCGATGTAAGCTTTCGCAACCATTTTCTCAACCTCTTGTGGACCACTCTAAGAAATTACATGATATTCTCCGGATCCTCAGGGTATGTTTTAACATTCCTTGGAAGCAGAGATGTTGAAATAAAGATGTGAATAATGATTATCATCGTTGATCATTGATATATTTTCTTGGAATTACTATATTTTGATTTGGTATGTGTGAAACGAAACAAGGTCGACAATTATGAGAAATGTTTATTTCTCTTGTTCAAAATCTACAGGGAGGGTGATGACAATGACTCATGTAATGTTTGTACGTAAATATGGAGAATCAGTGTTCTTCGTAGAAAATTTATTTTCCGTACAGTGATCTTTGACCGTAGTATCAGTATGGCAGCTAGTGCTGAATCGAAAGTAGAAACCGAAAATGTAAAAACGACAGACAAGTTCCTCTTGCGTATGCAAGAATGTTACGAAAACTACATTGTAATCGACTCAGGAGCAAATCTCACAAATAAAAAGTATGGTCGTGATCTAGAGTCTGTGATACAACGAGCGAAAGATGCAGGTTGGTATGATGCCAACGATCTAAAATTATTAACACAGCATGGAAAATAATTTTCATCAATAAATTGAATTGTAATTTTTAATGTAGGTGTTATGAAGATTGTGGTAACTGGTGCGTCATTACGTTCAAGTAAAGAAGCGTTGAGATTAACTAGATTGTATCCTGGGGTTATATATTCCACAGCAGGTATGCATTATCTCCTATTGGATGTTGATGAAGCATGGTAAAAAGAAATATAATTATCTACATGTCAATTTTAGTTCATAAGAAAACATTACTGGGTTTTATTTAAACTTAATTATTATTCTAAGTGACTCTTCTCGTGTTTCTGATTGGGTTCGAAGTTTAAAAAGTATTGTTGGATATTGAGATAGAGCAGCTATTGTGATTTTCACCATATCTAATTGAGTGCATTCTGTATCCTATTTGGAAACTGTTAATAATTCAAAACGAAGAGATTAACTGGCACACAAGTGCTTTCTTCGTGTTTTAATTGTTGACATTTTGTTGAATCACTTTTACTTCATCTAATTCTTTAATTAAATTCTTTTGAAATTGTGATAAGGGTAATAACTTCTCAAAGAGTTTTGGGGCTGAAAATATTGGCATAAACAATTGGTAAAATACAATGTGTTCTGAATGAGTTTCCAAGGAATGAAAATGTTTCTATAAACGTGTAATTGGAAACAGAATTTCTGGAAAATATGCATAAATCTTATTACAATCCACAATTCTGCAAGACATTTAGAGGTATTCTCTAACAGTTATGTGCATTTGATGTAGTGTGAATAGATATGTACACACACACACAAACCTCCAAACATTGTTGAAAGAATCAATGATAATAACTTCAAATAAAACTACTGGCAATGTGAAAAGTAATGGAACTGTATTGCAGAGTGTTAATGACATCTGATGTTAGGGAGGAGTGTATTATAAAAGTAATATGAAACAGGATGGTTCAAACTGCTACATAAGCTCATTTCTGGAACCAATGCGTATGTAGTTTTGAAAGAGCAAAGTTTATTTTCTGATTGGGATTAACTAACAAAGGAGCTCTAATTTAAAGATAATAATTTATTATTCAGTGTTCTTTAATATTCAAAATATATTAGAGACCTAAACTTCTCTGTGCTATATTTCATTTCACTTCCTCTATTTTATTTCTTTCCTCATATTCAAGTTAAAGCACTTCTGCATTTTATTACCAAACACTTCTGTATATTTACTCCCTGTTTATGTTTCATTGTGCCATTTACTGTTCATTTTCATTATTGATAATTATATACTGAATATCGTTGATAACATGACTATAATAGGTCTAACTTACTTCTAAAATTTAAGGTTGTAGAGAACATGGTATGGTGCAATGAAAGGCTTTGGAAACCGAAACTGCTGTTCCAAAATTTATGCTTCAGTTCAGAAAATGTTTTTGAATATCTGTTGTTTGTTTCTTCCCATTGATTTTGTTAAGTTATGAACCCTGTCTTAATTGCAAGCTTTCTCAATTCAATTCAGATTTTCATCACTCTGATGTAGTGTATATAAGTGTCTTATAATGTTTTAGGGATTCATCCTCATGATGCAAAATCTTGGACAGAAGGCTATTTAGATGATCTGCGAGAAATTGCTTTGAATCCAGAATGTGTGGCTATTGGTGAATGTGGACTTGACTACAATAGAGATTTTTCTCCTGCTGAAATTCAACGAGAAGTATTGCAAAAACAGGTAATTACTCAAAACATGAGTTTTTGAGATGATATTTTGTTAGCTGTTTCTTTTTTTTGGAGTGCATTCCTGTTAAGCAGTGAGAACCAAAGAAACAGACTTAAGGAAACCTTAAAGGGCAGTTATCCAAAGCGATTTGAACATTTGAAATGTAAAACAGACCAGAGAATTTTTAATAATTGTTTGCAAAGGTGTAAAGTGGTTATACAGTAAACTCTTGTTAGCACAAACCTGCTTTTTCTCATGCTCTGCTTAAATATAAACCCTTGGAAAACACAAACTCCAAATTTTTTAGCCCCTTGGAATTCGTGTTAACGAGGGTTTACTGTAACAAGATACGCGTCAATATGGACATACAACCAAACACAAGCAAAAGCCATATTTCGCTTTTGACATTTTGATATGTTTTTATGTCAGTCTGATAATTGATAACATAAATACACTCGACTTCAGATATAGTGAACCCTTGGTTGAACTTAGTCACTGGTCCCATGTCACGTACATTACAAATAAGCATACGATTTGGTTATAGTGAACCTGAACCTCAGCTATAGTGAATGCAGGAAATGGATGGTTGATTCTTCTGCCAGGATGTTGAAAAGTTATTGTGCTGTTACTCTTTGATGTTGGTTCTCTTTCATCCCCTTGTATGCCAAATCAATGTACGTCACTTTCATCATGGCTTAAAACATTATCTTCAATAAAAAATAATTATTCCACCTCTGAGTTTGCTTCATCGCTTACATGCATTTTCCGTTTTTTATTAATATTTTATAATTTGTAGCGTCTTTTTCGCAACATACCCCTTAGCCCTTCTTTGACATTGAGTTTTTATAAATCCTGAGTAATCCTCCGTTAAATATTTGTGTTGTCACGTTGCATTCAGTGTCTCGTATGACTTCAACCAGGACACTGTGCTGTTAGTAACCGAGGTTCCCAGACAGTTCTCTGGTTGGGAATCTATGGTGTCTTCCGTTGCTTAAACCATCTATGGGCATCAAGTGGTCACTGCTGTGCCTCTGACCAAGATGACTTATGGTTTGAGTCCCAATGGTGACAGGGTTTTCAATACTAGCTACGGCGAATTCAGCAGTTTTCTGGAGAAGAATAGTTGCAGCCGACTGCTCTGATTGGTAGTTTTCTTTAGTTCCTCTGATTTGCTCCAGGTGAATGTCAGAGCAATACCCTAACGAACAGGCAAGGGGCAACACCAATATTGCTGTCCTGTTCCTTGCTCTACCCTTGTGCCTTACTGATAAACACTTACATTCAGTACACTGCCGCATATGACACAAGACCATGTAGGAACTTAGAACTTCTCTGGGCTGGTGCGATGTCCTGCCGGTGGGAGAAACACCTGGTTTCGGAAGATGGGACTTGGTGGGAGATACCTGGTTCTCTCAAGACGGCAGGTTGGTCAGTGCCGGATATCGACATCCACAGGAGGAGCATTACCACCATCTCATGTGATAAAAACATGCAATGGACATACGGATCTAGTGACCTTGGCAGATACAATCCCGGAATCACTAAGGGGCAGACAAATCACGTTATGCAAATTTGGTGTATTATAAATATCCCTCCCCTGTAATGTGACATTGAACTCCCCTAAATAATTATGTAAGCCTATGACCCCCCCCCCCCTCCCCTCATTTACATTAAGTAAAAATACATTATTTAACAGTAAGACAATTTGTATTTATTTTATTTGCGTTGTATAATTTATGCTAATTAAAGTTAGAATTAATTGATGTACACTGCACCTAACAATAAGATTGGAAACTATTTTTTGAGTGAAGGATGGATGCATAGGAGAGAGAATTTCTGGGAAGAAGCCGTTCATCTGCTGTTGTGGATGATGGAAAAAATAAATGTATGCGAATTGAGCGAAATCATTTCAGAGACTGGAAATGCCATGAATTCTTCGTTTGCATTTCTCTTGTTTCCTTCACTGTTTAAATAAAGCATTGTGATTTAAATAACTTAATGATATAATCAGTAATACATTGGTGTTGATCTTGGGTTTGAATAAAAAATGCAGAATATTTAGTTTCTTAACATTATTGTTATAAAGCCCATTGTTTCATAACAGAAAATGTTTCAATGTGGTTTGCAACAAAATAAAATTCTCAATGAGTCATTCCAAGTCAAATGGTACGAACCCAATGAAAAATTCACCTGTATGTTTTTTTATTTTTTGAAAACTGTACCTATCTATACTAATAGCAAAAACAACTAACACCTTTTTATTTTTTCCCCCCTCTCCGTTGAAGTCATATACCTTCAGATTTATTCGGAATTAAAATTTACCAAATAGCATGCATGTTGCATATATAAATGCTCATGTTTCCTTACTAAAAAAAAGAACTAAGAAATCAAACTAGCTTCATTATACAGATTATGACAAGACATTTTATATTTGCATTAAAATTATATAAAATGTGTGTATTTTCTCTCACTTTTTAACCTTTTTTTAAGTTTACAAAAAAAATTAAAATATAAAAAAATCACTAAAATTTCTATTTTTTATCATACAATCGTGCAATGTTTCACAATGAGATTTGTATAAATACAAATGCAATAAACAAACTTACTCAATATCTTGGGGAGGACAGCGTCATTCATGTTTGTGCCGTAAGTCAAATGCAAGCTGAGTATTTATCGTTCAAATGAGAACATTAGAAATGAGTGGACATGACTATTGAAGTTCATTAATTAAATAATGAAAATTTATTTTTTGTATAACTAATGTGTCTCATAGAAATACTTCTTTCTCATCGAGACAGAATAGTTCTTCCATAGTGGAATGGTTTTTGGAACTGGTACGAAAGCATGTAATGTCTTTGTACAACGTATTGGTTTCACTTTTTCATATTGGTATTTCCATAAGCCATAGTCTTTCTTGTCATCATTTGTCAAAAACAGAAAAAGAATACAACTAACATATTTTTAACCCGTTTGAATTATTTGTGTCGTGTTGTAATTGGAACCTGGAGTGGCTGCAGACTAGCTCATGTAGTCAATCTTTTTGTGGTGCCGCCAATTCCATCACAAGGCCATTTTCCATGGGAAGTAGCAAAGAAAATGCCATGCAGCATTCACACCAAAATCTTTGGGGAAACATAAATTAACAAAATTTTCCTGGTTTGATCTTGGGCACTTGCTATATCTGAAAAAAAAATTCTTTTTTGACATTACCTACTTCAACTTTTAGAAATTTAATCAAATGTTTTTGGAAAAGGTTAACTACTTCAGGCATTCAGATATTGGTATTAAACTTTTGTGCCTTGGCTGACTATTATGTTTGAAATATGTAACAAAGGGGTGAAGTGTAACCTGGTTGTTCTTACAATGCGCTCCTTTAACTGAATCCTGAATGATGAAGGAATAATTTTCCGAGAAGTAACAAATTACTAGACTGTCAACTTGTATGTATTCATTCTTCTGTGCCGAAATGCAGATTGCTGTTGAGCAATAAATGTCTGAGGTGCTAGAATTTCTAACTTCTTTGACAATTGATTTAAAATTTCTTCAATGTTGGACTCCAGTGTTTCTAAATTGATTCCGTCTACAGTTTGTAATGGACATCTATCATTTCGGTTTCAAATGTCTCTTGTAACTGATTCATCAAATTGCTGCCCTTGGACACTCGGTGTTTTCTAAAATGGCAATCAGGGGATAGAGGATTGCATATAACCTGAGGAAGAATATCTTTGTAATTTCTCAGCTGCTTTTGCAGGTTACATGTTAATTTTACGAAATTTCCACCACTAGTCCTTAATTTTTCATTTTCATTGTAAACACATACACAAACTGAATGAGTTCCACTTGGACCACAATGTTTTGTTCTGCTAATTTTGAAAAATGTATTTTAATTACCAGATTTTTATTCTTAAATGATCAAGATGTCTTAAATAACATAGTAACAACCTTCTCATCTTTTGAACTCGGTGACCATCCTCTTTCACAGAATCAAAATTATTCTTTCATGTCATTATGCAGTTCATGCTCTTACAAGTGAAGTAATCCTGCACCTTCTTTATTATATGTCCAAAGGTGCTTGATATCGCTCATTGTGAAAAGTCCAACACAAATTATGTAGAACCACGATTTACACTTGCTGAACATAGTGTGGCGTTGTGATAGCTAAATGATGTCTTAGACACAAGCTGTATCTACAGTTTATTTGCAGTATATTACAAATACGTACAGCTCCGGGGTTATTTTCGCAATTCAACCTCCTCCTCCTCCTCCCCCCCCCTGTTACTCCTACGCACACCGCTCCCCCATTGCTCGCGGCGATGGTGTAACGTTTAGCGTGTTAACGGTTAGCGTACCGGACTGTTGTACCCTAGTTGGCGGGTTCAAACCCGATCGAAGCCGTGGAGCGAAAAAATCCTTCGGAGGGGAAGTAAATGTGTTAGTAAATTTACTTGCATGTAAAAGATCCTCAAGCCTAAATGACACCTCTGAGCTAAATTCAAAATGGCCTGTTTCTCGCCCAAGAAATACCTCCTTTCTCTGTAGTTGGTGAAAGGAGCGTAGCAAAATTTGCGTGGTCAGGCGGAAGAGCAGGCCTCGTGGCCTGAGGCTCGCCACGTAAAATAAGGCATTAATTCAATTCACTGCCCTGGCCCGGCTAGTGCCTCATCATCCTCTACGGCGCCGGTGCCCGAACGCCCGATGCCACGCACTCGCAGCGTCTCGAGAGCGCTCATCCGCCTCCCGGGCAAGCAGTTGCGACCACCGCGAGGCGTCCAGAAAGCTGCGCATTTGCTGCTCGCATATTTTTGGCGGTCACGTGGTCGCTCACAGCCTCCTCCGTGCGAGGTTCGCCGCTTGGCCGTCGTATACACGCCGTTACGTCTTGGGGGGTCACTACGAGCTCCTCCCCAGCTGGCCAATTTGTTCTCGCCGCCCTCGATTCCCCCCGTGGCGGCCTGCATTCCGACGCTCGCTGGCGCGTTCGGAAGTCTGATGATGTTACAATAGACACGGCGCACTCTAACTAAACTGGACCTGCCGGGCAGCGTAGAATGTGTCTCGTCTTCACGAAAAGTGAAACAAATTCTGACAGAAACTTTGGACGTAACGAAGCTCGTGATTGGATGCGTGTCCCCGTCTGCTTCCTGCTCGCGATCTTGAAGGGCCATTACTCGCGGCATAATATTCTATGGAAACACGTTTTGTAGCTCTCAGACTTTTAGATTTCGAGAATAATTGTGCGCATAATATGCAAACCCCACCCACGTGTTTCTTGTAATCTTTGTAATTCCTCTTTATTAAGCTAGGAATTTTACCATTACCTTTCCTCTTGATTTACGAATCAGTGATTTTGTCAAAAATGACTTTCTGAAGAGTGAGAACATATTTTCTGCCAATATCTATAACACTTGACGTAGTAATCATATTCTTAGGCGTCAGTATGAACAGCTCAATAAAAAAAATCGCATACAAAACGTGTACATTATTTTACAACACATTGCCAGATAACAAATGAATAAAATACACAAGTTTATGTGCCAAGTGCAATGTTTTCTGCTGCAAGACTGTTTCTATACAATTATAAACCATACCAAGCATCAGAGAGAAATGTAATATTAATTTCAATATTGATATTTAATGTGTTGCCGTTCAGACTGAAAAATTCTATAAGATTGCCTGTTAGATTAGATTAGATTTATTAATAATTCTGCAATTAAGTGTGAGAACTTGGTGGCAGAATACACTACTTAACATTACAGAACTTAACAACTATACAATCTACAAAACGTTACCAAATCTCATGAACATTTCACCGTTTCACCTTTCATAAAACTCCATTTCA